TCTTCTGTCTTCTGTCTTCAGTCTTCAGTCTTCAGTCTTCTGTCTTCAGTCTTCAGTCTTCAGTCTTCTGTCTTCCGCTCAGCCTTTTAGCGCAGAGCAACTTCCCGGAGTCTTCACGGAGACTTCAGGGTTGTCTACCGCTGACGAAGCTTCTGTGAGAGAAGCGAAACGTCCTTTTTTGTTTTTTGTTTTTTACCCACAGGTACAGATGACGACTGACAGAACACTTTCTACGATGGAACTTTCCTGTACGACTGAGAGTCTCCACAAACGACCCTTCACATTCTGATTCATGTGCATTTACTCCAAAGGGAGCCCACGCTGACAGCAAGAATGCCAAAAAGAAGAACAACAAGAAGACCAACAAAAATAAGAGCAGTGTCAGTCGAGCCAACAAGAAAAAGCCTGGGATGCCGAATGTAGCTAATGATCTGTCCCAAAAGCTCTATGCCACAATGGAGAAGCATAAAGAGGTGAGCGAGCCATCAAATCTTCCTCCTTGCTCAGCGTACTTTCACAGGCAAATGGAGTCAAATTCATAACAGCAAGCACCGAATATTCATAAAATAAGTGTGTGTGTGTGTGTGTGTGTGTGTGTGTGTGTGTGTGTGTGTGCGTGCGCGCGCGCACACACACTCACATATATTATTGTATAGTAAACAAGAACTTCCAGTGGGTCTACTGCTCTTCTCATTTACTCTTTACTAGAAGTCATTTTATAGAGGTTTTTCACTCGGTGCAACATTGATATTTATTTTTAAATGTATACTTTGCAAACCACTATCTTAAATTGGGCACTTATTGTGCCATACACTGGTACCTCAACTTACGAAATTAATTGATTCTGGAAGAAATTGCTTTAGTAGAAAATTTTAAAGTGGAGATGCGTTTTCCGTGTAAATGCCCTAATCCGTTCCAAGCCCCCCAAAATTCACACAAATGTTTTTGAAGCATAGAAAGGCATCAAAATATGAAATAAATACATGTTACAATTAGATTATTGCACAATAAATGAGAGATGTGCATAATCTAAAAAACAAAGAATAAAGAATAAAAATGATGGTCAACTTTTAACTGCGTCTTCATCATTTTTTTTTGCCATTTTTAGTTCATGTTCCCTCTCAGAAGTGGTTTTGTCCTGGCGTTTTGTAAAGAATTGATCCATGAAAGTTTGCTTTTGTCGGGTTTTAACAATTCTTTGAAAATGTCCAAGGCAAACGTCAGCATAGTGAGCGATCGCCCAACTAGTGAACACTTTTTCTGGGTGGTTCACATTTATGTAAAACTATCGGAACACCTCATGGGCCAATGATGAGATTGCTGCAACGACACATCTATCTATTTATTTATCTCTACACACAGACACGTACGGTAGAGGTGCCTCTTAGCCAATGGGATGCTAGGTCATAGCCAATGGCAGAGCAGCTATAACTATGTTGCGTTCAGGAAACTTGGAGCTGCGACTAACAGTCCTTTCATCTCTTGAAATTTCTTTCGTAACAAGAGGCAATATTTTCCTGTTGAGGAGTTTCGTAACTTGAACATATCGTATGAAGAGATGTTCGTAAGTAGAGTTACCACTGTATAAGTTCAGCTGTTAACTACCACCTTCATCACTAAATGTCTTGTCATGGATATTTGCTCCAACCGTAACGGTTATACAATAACTGTCCCCCATAAACCATGTGATTTGAACCAATGTGATCAGTGGATATTAACTGTAGTATAATTTGTTTAACTTTGGATATTTTTATCAAGACACGTGGGAACTCTTGGGGGGTGGGTGCATTAAATGAATCCGGAAAGATGTCGTCCCAAAAAAATTTTTATTTTTAAGTTGGGCTGATCTCTCAGTCATTGGACTTCCACTATTTTCATTTTGTGAACAGGTGACATGGGAAAGCAGTCTTAAAACAGTTTCTTCTCTTTCCAGGTGTTTTTTGTCATCCACCTTCATTCTGGGCCAGTCATCAATACCCTGCCTCCCATCATGGACCCCGACCCTCTGTTGGCATGCGACTTGATGGATGGCCGCGATTCCTTCCTGACGCTGGCCCGAGACAAGCACTGGGAGTTCAGCTCGTTGCGGCGATGCAAGTGGAGCACCATGTGCATGCTGGTGGAACTGCACAACCAGGGCCAGGACCGCTTTGTGTACACGTGCAATGAGTGCAAGCACCATGTGGAGACTCGCTGGCACTGCACCGTCTGTGAGGTAGGCAGCGGAAAGGTTGCAAATTAGATTTCAACTCGGGTTCAATGTGCAGTAATCTACAGCACAAATTCACTTATTTGCACTTTTGGGGACTTTTTATCAAATTAAAACAAACCTTTTTGTGGTTTTGTACTGTTCCTGTCATGCTTGAAAATGTGCACTTTGGGTGCATGATTTTTACATCAATTAAATTTCGATAAGCCAATGCCGTATTGGCCCGAATATAAGACGGTGTTTTTTTTGTATTGAAATAAGACTGAAAAAGTGAGGGTCGTCTTATATTCGGGGTCTAGACATTATACCCATTCACGACACTAGATGGCGCCAGATATCATTGAAGCGAATGCTGAACTTGACTCCCCAGGCCAAAGTGAACCCCTGTCACGAAGAATAAAAATAAAAATAGCGGTAGCACGAAGAACAAAAAAAATAGCGGAAAGAAAAGAGAAGAAAATAACGGAAGAGATAACAGAAAATGGAGAAACCTAGCAACAATCTGGAGAAAAGTGGGTCGAAGATTGGCCAGGTTAACCGGAAGCTGAGGAGAAGTTATGATGCAATTTACATTTCAAAAACCAGAAGCCATTCATTTACGAAGGTGATTGCACTTTAGTTTACATATTTAAATGTTCAGATATTAAGATTTGAATGAGGCAAAATAACATGCTTTTTCTCTGATATATTGTTATAATCATTTGTTTAAGATGTACTGTAATTATTTTCTGTATAAAATTTAATTTGGTGTTCAAAAAGTCTTTTTTCAAACTTGAGTCTTGAAAAAGAGTCTAATAATCAGGGCCCTCTTATATTCGGGCCAATATGGTATATTTAACTGATTTGGTGTCATAGTTTGAGTTATAATTCCATCTTTATATATTACCACTGTGGTACTTTTACCGATGAGACACTAAAAAAAACACTACAATTTTTGGGGAGGATAGGTTCACCCTGGAAATAAAAATCTGAAAATGTAAATTTGTGAATGCCAAACTGAATATTTTGGTTTCACGATAAACTCAAGACCCACTACCTGTGTATAGGCAATTCTAAACATTTACAGGTGGTGTCAATTACTGTGGGTGTCACCCCCAAAGTTTGCAGCGGGTCTCTATCTCTGTCCTCCATGGATTACCACATGCCCATGATGTCGTTTTTCTTTTTCCTGCTGCAGGACTACGACCTATGCATTAACTGCTACAACACAAAGGGACACGAACACCAGATGGTGAAGTGGGGCTTGGACTTGGACGACGACAGCAACAACCAGGGTGGAGAGTCCTCCAAGAGTCCGCAGGAGAGCCGTCGTCTCAGCATCCAGCGCTGCATTCAGTCCCTGGTCCACGCCTGCCAGTGCCGCAATGCCAACTGCTCCCTGCCATCATGTCAGAAGATGAAGCGGGTGGTTCAGCACACCAAGGGCTGCAAACGCAAGACCAATGGCGGCTGCCCTGTGTGCAAGCAGCTCATTGCGTTATGCTGCTACCACGCCAAACACTGTCAGGAGAACAAGTGCCCTGTGCCCTTCTGTCCCAATATCAAGCACAAGCTCCGTCAGCAGCAGATCCAGCACCGCCTGCAGCAGGCTCAACTGATGCGCCGCCGAATGGCCACCATGGCAGGAAGGGGCATGCCCATGCCGTCCCCACCTACCTCATCAGCCCCTGACACGCCTAACTCTGTGCAGCAGCCTCATACGCCGCAGACCCCGCAGCCCATTTCCAATCAGCCCCCGCTGCAGCAGCAGTTGCCACCCCCGAACTCCGCCAACATGGTTCAAGGCTTCCCCATCAACGGCCGCAGCAGCAGCCAGCCCCCAACACCCATCCCGCAGGGCAAACCGGGCCCCCAGTCATCCCCGCTACATCAGCAGCAGTCGCCTCTGCCCAGTTTGCCGCTACAGCAGCAGCAACAGATGCCGCTACAGCAGCAGCAACAACAGCAGCAACAGCAGCAGCAGCTAACGGCCTTGAAGGGGGCCAGACAGATTGAGATGGCCGCAAAGGCAAAGCAACAACAACAACAACAACAACAACAACAACAACAGCAGCAGCAGCAAAGTTACACCATGAATGGGATGCCCATGAACCACCCACGCATGATAGGCCCCATGCAGGGCCAGATGCAGATGATGCGGGGCCCCCAGGTGATGCAGGCTATGCAGCAGAGCCAGTGCGGTCCCGGAATGCAGAGTCCAATGCAGAAACCTTCCGGACAGCCACCTCAGGGCCCTCCACAGCAAGGCGTCATGGCCCCCCAGCAGGCTCAGGGAGGCGCCATGGTGCAGCAAGGTCAGCTCATGCAGAGAGCCATGATGCCCCAGCCGCAGGGGCTCCAAATGCCCGGAACCATGCCTCCACAAGGGCCCTCGCAGCAGGGCATGACGCCCACGCCGCCGCAGCAGCAGCAGAATATCCCACGTGCGATGCCCGGTAACATCACACCCAACGCCTTGCAGGAGCTACTCCGCACCCTCAAGTCTCCCAGTTCGCCCCCGCAGCAGCAGCAGGTTTTGAACATCCTCAAGTCCAACCCGCAGCTCATGGCCGCCTTCATCAAGCAGAGGACAGCCAAGTACCAAGCCAACCAGCCGCTGCAACAACAGCAGCAGCAGCAGAACCCTCAAACAATGCCAGGGTCTGCGGCCGCGATGCAGGCCATGATGCAGGCGCAGAGGCCTGGTATCCCCCCTCAGCAGCAGCCTCCGCAGCAGGTGGGTATGGCCCCCATGGGACCCCAAGGCCAGATGATGAATGTGGCTCAAAATGGGAACCCTCAACTTTACCGCAGACAGCAGCTCTTCCGCATGCAACAGGCGCAGCAGCAACAGGGAGGCATGCCTCAGCATCACGCTCATTTCCCCCAGCAGCAGCCAGCAAGCTACTCCCAGCTCAGGATGCAGCAGCAGATGGCTATGCAAGGAGGCATCGGGCCGATGGGCCAGCTCCCACCCGCGTCACAATTGGGCCAAGCTGGCATGGGCATGGACGGAGCCCAGACCCTTCTACAGCAGCGAATGCTCCAGCAGCAACAGCAGCAAATGTTGAAGCAGCAGATGGGCTCGTCGGCCCAGGCCATGAGCCCCCAGCCCCACATGCTCCAAGGCCAGGCGCAGGCACCGGTCGCTCACCTTCCCAGTGGCCAAGCCATGGGCAACTCCTTGGGCAACCAGGTGCGCTCACCGGCCCCGGTCCAGTCGCCTCGGCCGCCGTCGCAGCAGCCCCCGCATTCCAGTCCCTCCCCGCGGATACAGCCCTCGCCCCAGCACGGCGCCCTTCTCTCCAGCTCCCCTCATCCCATCATCGGGGGCCCCATGTCAGGCCCCTTAGAGCAGGGACACATGGGGACGCCAGAGCAGAGCGCCATGCTGCCGCAGCTTAACACACCCAACCGAGGGGGTTTGAGTACTGACATGGGCATGGTTGGGGACACGACGGGAGACACGCTGGAGAAATTTGTCGAAGGATTGTAGCAGAAAGTGAGAAAATTCAAGTCACAATGTTTGTGAACTTTCTGCGAAACAAGGGACTACTTTTTATTCCAACAACGTGTGACTTCCCCGTCACTGCTTCAAAGAAGACACAAAGGATATATTTTTGGTTCAGACCAGCCATGCAAGAATTGATGCTTTGGTCTTTGTGTTGTTGAAATACGTTTTTCATTTGTTTATGCTCTGGTATTGACTTTTTTAACAGAACCTCTCGAAACAAAAAAATATCTCCTTTTATTTTTCATTTTGTATCTTTGCAAATAATTATTGTATTTGTGTTGAGCAAGACTGTAAAGTTAAACTGGGAAATTTTGGGGGGTTGCCAGGTTTCACTTTTTGCTCAGTTTCTCTTGTTCTAGGCTAATTTATTCCAATATGCCATTTTTCAAAAAGGACTGCCTTTGGGAAAGCCTTAATTTTCCTTCCTGCTTGCAGACTCTATGGAGGATTACCGTGTTTGTATAGATTTAGGAACTATTGCACACAGACAAACACAACAGGCAGGTGTTCAAAAGCCAGAATGTTCGTTTATTTACTGGCCTTGGCTCAGTATTTGTCTTGCATATGTACAAATAATCACTTGGTCTCTCTTTCGATCCCAATGAATTCTCTTCATGTCTTGTTCTTCTTTTGCCTGTGGTCAGAAATGAACATGTTGAAACTGCTGATTTGTGTTCAGTTATGTGTATCATTTTCTATCTTACATTAAACTTGAATCCACAATGACCTGTCCTCTAATGTAAATCACACAGCTCAACAGCACTGTAAATATGCAGAAAATAAGAAGAAATCACTGTAAAAACTGGTTCAAGATGGCTCATTTCCTACTTATATACCATATTGTTTAATAAACCTGTGTGCCACAGACTCTCTTGGTCATTTCTCTTTTGTCTGACAAATTTCTTCGACCGAAGAATTTATCTGACCATTTCTTGATTTCTCTTTCTGGCACAACTTTTTAATGTTTTTATTTTTAATATTGATGAATGAATATCCCCCGCCCCCCACCCCCAATAAAAGCAGAATAGTACATGCAAACCCACACTTTGACTTAACACCTTCACACTAGTTTTAAAAGAATAACCTAGTCTTCAACCCACGATTTAAAACCTTAACCCAGGTGAGTTAAGAAGATTATACATTTAATAAATTAAATGTAATGACATGGGGGGGGGGGTCACCACTTTTCCAATTGACTACTGTGACCTTGAAGATAAATTACCATATTAATATTAGTGTTAATAATCCATTTTAAATGCTGCATTAAATTTGCGCAAATAAGTCACTTCAGCAATAAAAAAAAATGTGTAACTCACAAACAAAGCGATTCAGGATTTCATATTCTTGGGGTTTTTTTTTTTGGAATTTTCGCTATTTGTGAACAGGCAGTGTGTTTGACATCTTCCGCCATAAGGACCCGGTGTGGGGCCCTTCAGCAACGAGTGCTGTTTGTTCAGCGTGTTGTGGGACAGTAGCACCAGTTAGTGGGTTGACAGCTGCTTCCCAGTGTCTCTTCTTCACTGTCACCATGTCCCGCTTCCTCACTTTGTCCCGATTTGGTATCACGTCTTTGTCCGCATGGACCACTCGGAGGGTTCCGCCATGCGTACGAGGATATAGCGCTTGTGTCTCGCGCTCCTTGACACAGGGTAATTGTGTGCTAACCTTGCCGCGCTAACAGCCACAGCCTCGCATGTAATTTCCGTACCTTTACATAATTGACACGGAGATTGCGGACAGGTCAATTTACTTCTAATTGTTAGCCTCTTTGACTCTTCTCGTAGAGTTTACAAGTTCCATTTCGTGCGGTGCTGAGTGACGTAAAACAATGGCTACGTCATGCGCCGTCGTCCATCACTTATGCTGTAGCAAAGTCATACTGACAGTATGTATATAAATGCGCAATACTTCGAGTTGGCTGACGCGAAATTATCAGAAAATACTGTTCCTCCCAAATAATTGTTTTCCCATCTTAGATATTGCTTTATGTCTCGATATAAATAAAGTGTGAAACAGTATTTCTCATAGAGATGGGGTGAGGAATCATTGAGTCTTTTGAGGCATTTGCCATGTTGATTTGTAAAAAGAGTCAAAGCCTGAAAAACTAGACCACGCCAGTGGTGGTCAGCTAGAGTCTTAGCAGCTACAATCCTCAGCAATTCTCTGCCATTGATTTGTATTCCAACATAATAGCAATACATTCAGTCTTTCACTTGTCTTGTGTCTGTCTAATGATCATAATGTACATATGTAAGTTCTGCAACATTTTGACTGTGAGTATTGTTCTGTTTTATGTCTACAAGTGTTGCTGCACCATTTGTGTTCACCACCACATTGATGTAATTCGTTCATACATCCATTTTATAATTGTGTGTTAGTAGTGAGATAGCGGACATTTAAAGCAATGTAGTTGTTTTAAATACACAAGGTGTAAGTCTCTTTTTCTGGTTACTGTGTAAATGGACATCTTGTGGTTGCTAGACACACAGGTTGAACGCCAGCAGAGTTGGAGCAGCCGGCCCAGCTTGTGGCGTCCTCAGCAGGCGTTCCCTTGGCTCAAGCAGCAGTCTTTCTACAGCACACAGGAGGCTGAGAAGGAGCCCGAGGAGGAGCCCTTGCACACCATCATCAGCGATTCAGAGACTGTGCAAGGTGCTGGAGCTTGTACAAAGTATATACATTGTTTGGGTCTATTAAAGGATTTTTTTTTAATGTTCTTGCTTCTGATCTATCCAGGCACCTTCTCCAAACATGAATTTCAGGCCGAGACTAAGAAGCTTCTGGACATTGTTGCCAGGTCTCTGTATTCAGAGAAGGAGGTAAGATAAGTGTGTACCATGACCTTGAATAGCCCTGTCCGTGATATTGAACCATATATAAAAGCCCCCCCCCCGGAGCTTGTACAAAGTATATACATTGTTTGGGTCTATTAAAGGATTTTTTTTTAATGTTCTTGCTTCTGATCTATCCAGGCACCTTCTCCAAACATGAATTTCAGGCCGAGACTAAGAAGCTTCTGGACATTGTTGCCAGGTCTCTGTATTCAGAGAAGGAGGTAAGATAAGTGTGTACCATGACCTTGAATAGCCCTGTCCGTGATATTGAACCATATATAAAAGCCCCCCCCCCAAAAAAATTACCTCACATGCTGTAAACACTTTATATGTCTAAAAATGCTAACATCTAATGTGAAATAACATAAATGACCAGTTCTAGTGATTTGAAAATAAAGCTGAATTTGTTTCATGAACGAGTGGTGTTTTTTGACTCATCTCGATCTCTCTTTTCAACATTGGGCTGAAAGTACACTGACTTGCAATTTCTTAAATCCCTTTATTTAAATCAGCAGTGCCATTTAGAGGAGTCAAAAAATACAACTGGTTCATGAAGCAAATTTGAAGCTTAATTTTCACATCACTAGCCAATTATCAACCCACCCATACAGAATGTCCACCTTTCGTCTCTTTTCTCCCTTCTAGGTGTTCATCAGGGAGCTCATCTCCAACGGCAGTGATGCTCTGGAGAAACTGCGCCACAAACTGGTCACTGCAGGGGGCCAGACGGCTCCCATGGAGATCCACCTGCAGACGGATGTTGCCAAGGGCACCTTCACCATACAGGTGTGAGCACAATTTATTTCAGGCAACTTTGTTACACTAACATATGAGACATGCAAGAAATAATATGGTAATGAAAGGCCTAAATGTTGCATAAATATTCCTTCGTTGTCAAAATTGTATTTGCTTTTTTTGGCACAATATCAGATACTTCTACACCTACATGAGAGAATGCTCAGTTTCTAAATTTAACAGTTAAATTTTTGTGGTACCAAAGCCCCTGGCTTTTCAGGGGCCTTGTACAAAATGTCACCAATTTTTGCAAACATGTCTATCCCAGTAAAAATATTTGTATTTTCAAGCTCACCAACCATCCGTCCTGGGAAGGGATTTAAAAAAAAAATGTCATTCAGTCCCCCCATATCCATGGAGAGTTATAAAAAATGCCTTACAATTAATTAGGGACACCACAGTATGATACCCGTGTTATAGATTGTGTAGGTTGCAGGTATCAAACTCAAGGCCTGCCACATTATTTTATGTGGACCGCGAAAGCAAATCAAAGATGTCAACTTTCATGATGCTTGCGAAAATCTCTGCCAAAATTTCAAATTGTCATTTGAAATAAATAAGAATGATGCTGTAAGCATTTTCTTGTTACCAAACCCCTCATTACAATAACTTAAAAAATAACTTTTTTATGTCTACAAGTGTTGCTGCACCATTTGTGTTCACCACCACATTGATGTAATTCGTTCATACATCCATTTTATAATTGTGTGTTAGTAGTGAGATAGCGGACATTTAAAGCAATGTAGTTGTTTTAAATACACAAGGTGTAAGTCTCTTTTTCTGGTTACTGTGTAAATGGACATCTTGTGGTTGCTAGACACACAGGTTGAACGCCAGCAGAGTTGGAGCAGCCGGCCCAGCTTGTGGCGTCCTCAGCAGGCGTTCCCTTGGCTCAAGCAGCAGTCTTTCTACAGCACACAGGAGGCTGAGAAGGAGCCCGAGGAGGAGCCCTTGCACACCATCATCAGCGATTCAGAGACTGTGCAAGGTGCTGGAGCTTGTACAAAGTATATACATTGTTTGGGTCTATTAAAGGATTTTTTTTTAATGTTCTTGCTTCTGATCTATCCAGGCACCTTCTCCAAACATGAATTTCAGGCCGAGACTAAGAAGCTTCTGGACATTGTTGCCAGGTCTCTGTATTCAGAGAAGGAGGTAAGATAAGTGTGTACCATGACCTTGAATAGCCCTGTCCGTGATATTGAACCATATATAAAAGCCCCCCCCCCCAAAAAAATTACCTCACATGCTGTAAACACTTTATATGTCTAAAAATGCTAACATCTAATGTGAAATAACATAAATGACCAGTTCTAGTGATTTGAAAATAAAGCTGAATTTGTTTCATGAACGAGTGGTGTTTTTTGACTCATCTCGATCTCTCTTTTCAACATTGGGCTGAAAGTACACTGACTTGCAATTTCTTAAATCCCTTTATTTAAATCAGCAGTGCCATTTAGAGGAGTCAAAAAATACAACTGGTTCATGAAGCAAATTTGAAGCTTAATTTTCACATCACTAGCCAATTATCAACCCACCCATACAGAATGTCCACCTTTCGTCTCTTTTCTCCCTTCTAGGTGTTCATCAGGGAGCTCATCTCCAACGGCAGTGATGCTCTGGAGAAACTGCGCCACAAACTGGTCACTGCAGGGGGCCAGACGGCTCCCATGGAGATCCACCTGCAGACGGATGTTGCCAAGGGCACCTTCACCATACAGGTGTGAGCACAATTTATTTCAGGCAACTTTGTTACACTAACATATGAGACATGCAAGAAATAATATGGTAATGAAAGGCCTAAATGTTGCATAAATATTCCTTCGTTGTCAAAATTGTATTTGCTTTTTTTGGCACAATATCAGATACTTCTACACCTACATGAGAGAATGCTCAGTTTCTAAATTTAACAGTTAAATTTTTGTGGTACCAAAGCCCCTGGCTTTTCAGGGGCCTTGTACAAAATGTCACCAATTTTTGCAAACATGTCTATCCCAGTAAAAATATTTGTATTTTCAAGCTCACCAACCATCCGTCCTGGGAAGGGATTTAAAAAAAAAATGTCATTCAGTCCCCCCATATCCATGGAGAGTTATAAAAAATGCCTTACAATTAATTAGGGACACCACAGTATGATACCCGTGTTATAGATTGTGTAGGTTGCAGGTATCAAACTCAAGGCCTGCCACATTATTTTATGTGGACCGCGAAAGCAAATCAAAGATGTCAACTTTCATGATGCTTGCGAAAATCTCTGCCAAAATTTCAAATTGTCATTTGAAATAAATAAGAATGATGCTGTAAGCATTTTCTTGTTACCAAACCCCTCATTACAATAACTTAAAAAATAACTTATTGATATGGTTTCAGTCATAACGACCCTCCAAGGAAAACTATAACGAAAATCTGGCCCGTGAATACATTGTACGTGTGACTATACTTACTGTCATTAATCTGTCTTTTCTGGCCAGTACTGCCCCCTATTGGTTGAACGTCATACAATATGGAAGGATTTTATTTTTCAATTTCAACAGGACACGGGAGTGGGGATGAACCAAGAGGAGCTGGTTGCAAACCTGGGTACCATCGCCCGCTCAGGTTCCAAGGTAGCTGCACTTACTTATTTTGTATACCCTGCACATGTATAAAGAGAGGTGCACACATACCGATTTTTCTCATCTTAAACCCTGCCCCCCCCTTTTTTTTTAATTTTTTTTTTTTTTTTATGTGAGATGCCACATTTAACATAGAAATAATTGAAAATGTGTTCTTGCTACTCTTACTTTGTGTAGTTTAGTTGAGAACACAGTGCTCCACACACATGAAAATCCAGAGAAGTATGACTAACTGCACATGATAATCACTCGGGATAATGTTATCGAGACTTGTGAGATTCTGTCCTTTGGCGACTTTGATTAGAAGAGAGGAAAAATGCTCAGATTTGGCTTACTTATCTGTATGTGCTCAACAAGACTCACCCAAGTCCTCCCTGATCTCTGTAGGCCTTCTTGGATGCGCTTCAGAACCAAACGGAGGCCAGCAGCACAATCATCGGGCAGTTTGGCGTCGGCTTCTACTCAGCCTTCATGGTGGCCGACCGCGTAGACGTCTACTCGCGGGCCGCCGAGTCCGGCTCACCCGGGTTCAAGTGGTCCTCCGACGGGTGAGCGGAGATATACTGTATATAAATATATATATTTTTTTTGGAGTGGGTGACCAACTAATGCAAATTGAGTTTGTCTACTCCTTCTTTCTTGCTAGATGGATTTGTTTTCATTTTAACAGAAGACCTGTCCAAAACGTACAATTTTTGTTCACTTCTTATGGATGTTAGAGGCATTTTTCTGACCAAACAACAAATTTTCATTGCGGGTCACATGGGCCTTTTGGATTCTCTTACTGGGCTAATATGACTGTGAAAATCACATCTATATATATAATCACCTCCTCATATTATAACATGTATACCGTAAATTCCTGTGTGAAATACCCCCCCCCCCCCCCAAAAAAAAAAAACATCTCAGATTGTTGGGTTTATACACCAGTGTTAATATGACGCAAAATATTTTCACCTTGTTTAGACAGTAACTACCAGGGTTTTTTCTGACTCTAATTGAGGCGGAGGTGGTACCATCCTGACCATGCGCCACGACATGCATGTATTCTCTATATTCAACGGGCTCACTCTCTTTACAGGAAACGTACTTTAAGTTAAGAGTCCCATTAAGGATATGACTATTATCATCTTAAAGCATCTATTTATTAAAACTTGCACCGAAGAATGATTGCCTCATTGCTTGTGTGATGGGGCCACTTTGGTTTGAGACACTCAGATTATTTTGAAGCAGCCTTCAAGCGCACTGGGGTCCATATCCACCTGTGTTGCAATAGTGCGCAATGCATGCCTTCCTCAGTATGCTTGAGCCAGGTAAATTGATGGAGCCACTACCTATCAAAGCCACTGGCTAGTGTGTTTTTGAGAACATATGAAAAAAGGAATCAAAAATAATGTTTCAATCACATACACATTGACTTTGCGTTGTTATGCTCCTAATTGGAAATGGATTTACGTAGCATCGCAAGGTCGCTTTTTAAAAAAAGTGGCCTATTTTTCTTGCCAGAGGGGGGGGATTTTTTTTTTTTTTTTTTTTAACGCTGATGTTTGGGGGGCTGGGAGGACGTATTAGACACGGGTGCATATTACATTGAGGATTTTACGGTACATTTGCCCATGCACTTCAGTGTCGTTGAATATGTTTTTAATAACAAGATCCCTAGAGAAAGTCCATTACCACCAATGTGACATTTGTTTTGCTGACATTGCACTTTAGCTCGGGCGCCTTTGAGATCGCCGAAGCCAGCGGTGTCCAACAGGGAACAAAGATTGTGTTGCACCTCAAAGACGACTGCAAGGAGTTTGCCTCCGAGGACAGAGTCAAAGGTATGTTCCTCCCTCCAATGTTCATCCCTACCTCCGTCCATTTCGCTCAGACAAAATCAGAAGCGTTTGTGTCTCCTTCCAGACGTTGTGACCAAGTACAGCAACTTTGTCAGCTTCCCCATTTTCCTCAACGGTCGCCGGCTCAATACTCTGCAGGTGGGTAGTTAGCTCGCATACTACATCTTTGTTTCTTGAGGATATGGTAAACTTTATACAAATGGTGGGAGGGTACAATTTGGATGATTCTGGGCTGAATTGATTGATTTCCCGTACATTGCCTTATTGTTATAATTCTGTGATTTAACTAAGTGTTGGGAAACATCCATACAAACAATAATACATTCTATATAATTAGTTCCTGGCCTTATTAATAGGGCATCTGGGGATTTGATTTTCCAAAATTAAGGCTTTAATTTCACTGTTCAAAAGCAAATTTTAATATGCAGTGGTGTCATGTGTCCCGAAACATATTTTTGATGCTAATTGGAAAACAATCATCGGGTTTTTGAGGTTTTTTTGTGTTGTTTTTTTTAGATTTCAAAGCTTATGCATGACAGATTTGACCATACATTGTCATTTAAAGCTGTGACGTTTCCAAAAAAAAGAAAAGACATCTTATGCTGGCTAACCCTTCATTCCTAAAAACTGGCAAATACAGTCAAACCTCGGTTTCCGAACGTCTTTGTTCTCGACCATATCGGATTTCGACCAGAAAATTTGAGATTTTTACGCCTCGGATTATGACCGAAAACTGGTTTTTGACCAGACTGAGCAAACCCGAATTCGACACCCGACTACTCTCGGCTTCCATACATGAGGAAGTGATGCTTATTTCTGCATAGTGTATTAGCCCCGAATCATGGGCTAATAAAATAGTTTCGGATTTCGAACAAATCGCTTTTCGAACACCCTTCTGGAACGGATTACGGTCGAAAACTGGGGTATGACTGTATATCGGCATATTCAACATGGCTGACTCCTCCCTTCCATTAGATTTTTTTTTTTTTTTTTGCGGGGACTTTCATTTAGATCACTTAACAATCGATTAATAAAAGCAGAAGAATCACATGACTGTACAAAACATAACTCTATGTAACAACTGTATTTATATAGAGCACTTACAAAAAACCTTTGACGGCTCACATTTTCAGTTTCGGGGAATGTTTGGATGAAAACAGGCTCTAATGTGATTCTAATTTGTGACTGCAAGATCTTTATTTTGATGGGAAATGGGTGAATAAGATCTCAATTTGACTTCCGTGGGATCAAAACATTAATACCATTGACTTGTGTTCAGGCGTTGTGGATGATGGAGCCCAAAGAGATCAGCGACTGGCAGCACGAGGAGTTCTACCGCTTTGTGGCGCAGGCCTATGACAAGCCGCGCTACACGCTGCACTACCGCGCCGACGCCCCACTCAACATCCGCAGCATCTTCTACGTCCCTGAAACGGTGATGGAGGGTTTTCACTTGTGAGGCGAACGCCTTCGTTGGCCAACTTTCTTGAACCTGTGTCTTCCTGCGAGCAGAAGCCGTCCATGTTTGACGTGAGCAGGGAGATGGGCTCCAGCGTGGCGCTCTACAGCAGGAAGGTTCTCATCCAGACCAAAGCCGCCGACATCCTGCCCAAGTGGCTGCGCTTCCTCCGAGGTTCGTCACCTCTACCCGGAGCTTGTGGCGCCTCCGATCTGAACCGTGAATCTCATCCTTGTTTGACCTTCACGTTGTGTCCGTGCATTAGGTGTGGTGGACAGCGAAGACATCCCGCTCAATCTGAGCAGAGAGCTGCTGCAGGAGAGCGCCCTCATCAGGTACGACCTCATTGAAGAGCTGATCGAACGAGTCACCGCGGACATCGGCATCACTTAAGCTCAGCCAAATGTTGCCTTTTATTTACATTTGATCCCGTTTGTATTGTCATTGCGTTGGGCAAGATTCGTATGTCTGCATTTTATTTCATTCAAATTGAAATTCGGAGAAATTGTACATTTTTTATTTGAACAAGGTCTCTAAATAATTATTTGATTCTCAAAACAATGATCGATTAATTTGAAAATCAATTATTTGTCAATTTATCATTGCACCCTTGCATGACATTTTCATAGATGTATTTTTGTAAAAAGGACTCTTGTCAAGCGAAAAATCTTTTATTGGACAACCTCTTAATATCATGGAAGAATAAAAATCACTGTGGGACATAAAAATTACTCCTCTTCAATTGTACTTTCTAAAAATCTACTGTTAATCAGTATTGTGCTAAAACACAGGTGTCAAACGCAAGGCCCCGGGGCCAGATCTGGCTCACCGCATCATTTTATGTGGCCTGCGAAAGAAATTCAAGCATGTCAACTTCCATGATTGATGAAAATCTAATCTTAAAATTTCAAATTCTCCAATGTAAAAAAAATAACATGTAAGCATTTTCTTGTGACCAAAGTCCTCATCACAGTCACTTCAACAATCGTTGAAGAAACGATTTTTCTTGACTTCTTCATGTGGTCTGAAGGTCATAATGGCTCTCCCAAGAGAAACGGTGACTCCAATGTGTCCCACGACAAAAATGAGTTTGACACCCCTGTGCTAAAATGTAGTTTCCTCAACTATATCGTCATTGTATACTGAGTCAATCATTAAATTGCCGAATTTTTCCAACTTCCAAATTCCTACACTTTTGCCACCCCATTTGTGCTAATGCGCTCTTTTCTGCCACTTGCCTTCATCTTGCGCCCTTCCAGGAAGCTCCGTGACATCCTGCAGCAGAGGGTGATCCGTTTCCTGCTGGACCAGAGCAGGAAGGAGCCGGAGAAGTACAACAAATTCTTCGAGGACTACGGCCTCTTCATGCGCGAGGGCATCGTCACTACCCATGAGCAGGACGTCAAGGTGATTCTGACTTCGTCACCCGCTCACATGACCAAGCGTGTCCTCCTGGCGCTAATTCCGGTTGCCGCATTTGCGCAGGAGGATATCGCCAAGCTGCTCCGCTACGAATCGTCGGCACTGCCGGCGGGCCAGCACACCAATCTAACCGAGTACGCCTCCCGCATGAAGGCGGGAACCCGCAACATCTACTACCTGTGCGCCCCCAACCGCCATCTCGCGGAGCACTCGCCCTACTTTGAGGCAATGAAGCAGAAAGACATGGAGGTGAGTCGCGACGACTTATTTTATCACCAGATAGTACAGGGGCAATGTTCGGATACCTTGATGAGGGCTGTCTGAATCGAAAATTGTTTTGTCTATACAGTCAAAGCTCAGTTTTCGAACGTCTCAGTTCTCGACCAATTCAGTTTTCGACCAAAAATTTCAAGTTTTTCATGCCTCGGATGACGAACAAATTTCAGTTCTCGAACAAACTGAGTGCACTTGAATGCACCATTTGACTCCTCTCGCCTTCCTTACACGAGGAAGTGACGCTTCCTCCTCGTGTTGCTTTCCATTGTGAGCAGACGTGTTCAGTAAACATTTTTATTTTAAAAAGAGCGTGGTTCCGGTTTTCGAACAATTTCGGTTTTCGAACAGCCTTCTGGAACAGATTATGGACGAAAACCGAGGTTTGACTGCGTGTGTGTGTGTGTGTGTGTGTGTGTGTGTGTGTGTGTGTGTGTGTGTGTGTGTGTGTGTGTGTGTGTGTGTGTGTGTGTGTGTGTGTGTGCTAATATGATGACACAATGACACCCTAAATTGTTTTTCTTGAAAAAAAAATGTTGCCAATAAAAGAGGTAAAAACTCAATGTGTTAACAAAGCACACAGAGTCCTACCTTCTGTCGAAGGTCTTCCAAATTTGTAATTACTTTGTGAAGACACCCTTATTGTAACGACCACAAATCGCCATGTTTGTGCTTATCCATCTCAGGTGCTGTTCTGCTACGAGCAGTTCGACGAGCTGACCTTGCTTCACCTGAGGGAGTTTGACAAGAAGAAGCTAATCTCGGTGGAGACGGACATTGTGGTGGACCACTACAAGGAGGAGAAGTTTGAGGACAGCAAACCAGGTGCGCTGCGCTTCATTATTGAATTTATCTTGCTTATGATCGGGTGCCCGCCGCAACCCTGATTCTCTGTGATCCTTTTCTTTTGGCCAGCATCGGAGCGCCTGACTCAGGAGCAGGCCGACGACTTGACGGCGTGGATGAAGAATGCCCTGGGCCCTCGGGTCACTAACGTCAAGGTAAAAGCAAAAAAAAAAAAAAAAAAAAATGCGCTGATGTCATTTACGGCGAAGCGGACTCTTTCAAACAAATGTCCGACTGTTATTTTCAGCTTACCCCTCGCCTGGACACGCACCCCGCCATGATCACGGTACTAGAAATGGGCGCCGCACGCCATTTCCTACGTACGCAGCAGCTGGCTCGCAGTGCCGAGGAGAGAGCCCAGATACTGCAGCCCACTCTGGAGATCAACACAGGGTGAGAGTGCGGAACTTCACACCAAAACGTTTTGTATTATCAAAATGACTGCTGTGAAAACTGCCCTAATTTTGAGCTCAGGCCAAAAGTCTTGTCTAACATTGAAACAGTTACTTTGGCGCCATCTGGTGGCATCCGCGTGCCAAGCGCTTATGGTGAATTGAGCAGAGGAGCTTCAATTTGTTCTTTTGGATGGTTGTGAACTGCTTCGGGAGTATGTCCGCAACACTGAGATGTGTTTTGTTTTTTGTAGCATTGATGGTTTCTTTAATTGTGGCATGATAGTGGTGATATAAAGACATAGCTTCGTCAACGTAGATCCCCCCCACGCAAGACAGAGGAACAAAATCCACAGCCCATCATTGGTTAACTGTGATGTCTTTCTACGGTGTAGACATGATCTGATCAAGAAGTTACACGCGCTTAAGGACTCCAACAATGAACTGGCCGCACTGCTACTTGAACAGGTAATGAGCCTTCAACATTATTAAACATTGAGCACTAAGACGCCACACCTAGTGAGAAGCTCTGCTTATCAGGCATAGAAGAGCTTCGGAATTTAACTTGGGGGGAGTCAACTTAAGATCTCAAAGAAAAGTAGAACAACTCAAAATTGTATACAAATTGCAAAGAAAATCTGGTCTCAAATACACCTGCAAAAGGATTTTGATACAGTCGGACCTCTTTTCAATGTACCCCATTCATGTTTTCACCCCTGTAACGTTCACATTTCAAAGCGATTTCAAGTAGTTCATTTTCCTTTTGCCAATTTAGCTTACAACAAACACCATTATAACATCACCTTCATTATAACAACCAGATTTCTTTCCCACAAAAAATTAAAAATGCCTTTGGTACACCGAACCGCCGGAAGCTAACTGCCGCCACAACTTTGCTTTTGAACTAAATGTACATTTGCTGGCTGAAAGTTTTCTTCAGACTGTATACACATATTTGTAATTGACATGTTTATACTGTATTATATGTTCATGGTTTTACATCTATAAATGTTCATACTGTATTTTATACATTGTGGTTGGCGGCCATTTTATTGGAAATGGTTCCAACTAACTACCGTTATAACGTTCAGATTCGTTATGCCCCTCGAGGTTCGACTGTATGACATTTCAAGGTGGCCCAAATGTTGAACAATTCTGAATGTGGCCCTCAAATTCAAAGCAAACAATGCTGGATTGGTCGGAAAGTTTTCAAGAAAATGTGGTTAAAAAAATAAGTCATGGAATATGAGGAGTTTAAGAATCTATTATAATAATTCTGCATTGAACCAAACATTTCAGAGATTGCAGGTTCCAAAAGTTTAAGAACTCTGAATTTGACCTGAAATGTTCAACCGACGCTGCACTTGACCACTTTCACTTGACTTTTGTTCAGATTTACGACAACGCCATGATCACGGCGGGCTTGACCGACGATCCCCGGCCAATGATTTCCCGCCTCAACGACCTGCTGACAAAAGCGTTGGAGAAGCACTGAGAGGAAAAGACAAGTACTCTTTTTTTGCAGATTTTTGTGGCTCTGAAATGCAAATGGGAGATTCGAGCTTTTCCATCAGCACTTTTTTGTTTTTGTTAGTTTGTTTTTTAACTCAGAGTTAACCTCCCATTGCATTTTTGAGGATGGCAAACCAAAGAAGGAATACAAAATAAGATGGCAGCTTCTTGGAAAACATGGTCACATTTTTACACAAAAAAGTAACATTACACGTATGTCATATACAAGAGACATCCTCCCGTTTTCACATCTGAAGCCGCCAAATCAAAATGGCCGCAGTTCAAGTGGAGGGGAAAGCGAGCGCCTGTACTTTGAGCTCCGGCATCCAGGCTGCCGTTTTGTGTCCGTTTGCGAGCCTCTCCAAAATGGGCCTTTTCTGCGTTTCGGGCCTGCCGTCTCCAGACCCGTCTTGTCCAGATCCAGAAACTCCCCCACCCGGGTGATGTCAGGAAAGTTTGTCTATGTTGGCAAGGAAGCGCTGCGCCCACCACTCGTCCAGATCGATGGGCACAAAGTCTGAGGAGAAGACAGGAACAATCACTATTGTGAATATGGAGTTCAAAAGAAAAGAAAATGTCATAAAAATATCAAGTCTTAGTCAATTATAATTTGTGTATGTAAAATGATTGAGTAGTTTTACCATTCCCAAGATATAGCTTCACCGTCATTCTGTCCGGTGCCACCTAGACATGAGCAATTGATCATACTGACCATCCATGTGAGGGCTTGGAGTGTCGTCTTTGTAGTGGACCGCCGTAGCGTTTCCCTCCTCTCCTGTTCCCCGGACGTCGCCTTGCTCCTGTTGGATTGCCTCCTGCCAGGCTGCATGTAGGATTGCATCACAAAACTCATCAATGATGATAAACGGCGACAAGAGTTCTCGTTCTGTCCTCTGAACGGGTTGTAACCATGAAGTCAATTCCTTGTGCGTTTCTTGCATACATGGCCAATAAATCTGATTCTGATCTAAAGTCAAGACTTTGATGTCGCTAAATTAGGACTAGCAGTATTCCTAAACACTACCAAAACAATGTAAGTCAACCACTTGTTGTATAAAAAAATGAGATGAAAGTGGACTTTTCTGAAAATTCCGGGGAAAATAAATAAATAAATAAATGTGTATATACGTGTGTGTGTGTGTGTAACACACACACGCGCGCACTTGGCCGATCAAGCATGAATTAGTTTACACAAAACGCTATTCAAATACTCGACATTCAATGATTAATCTTCCTTTTGTGTGCACACGTGTACCCTTTATGGCTTCCGTTCGGGCCGAAATTTCGAAATCTCCAAGATATGGCGAGGCCATGAGAATGCGAGGCGAGGGTATTACTGTTGTGGCGACTCCACTCAAGCTAAGCGAGCCTCAGCAGTAGATTGTCCGCTGCTCTCTGCTGTG